ATATGAAAGGCTCTCAAAATAGCAAGATAAGGTCAAGTTTTTCTTTTAAAACTTCAGTTGCAAAAATTCCACTCTGTCCACTACACTTAACAATATTTTTTATCTCATTCTACTGGCATTTTGTTTGGATATATAACGTAAGTCAAAAGCACAAATCCATAAAAATTGGACACAGATTTAACTGTTGATACAATTTTTATTCTGTATGTCTCCTAGTGTTTTTCACAAGTGATGGAGACACACCTTTAACATCTCATGGTGTAGTGATGGTGAACAATTGAAGTTGTAGTTCAGGAGTGGAGAATCTCAGGTCCAGAATCCAAATACAGCCTCTCATTTTTGTCCTTGCCCACACCCCAAAGGTGCAAAACATCTGGCCTACAGCTGTAATTAGCCCTATCAGACATACTGATTTGGGCTGCCCACCATTTTGGCCAAGCCACACCCACTGTCCTAACACCTGATGTCATAGTATGTCATATTGGGGCTTGGGCAAAAGGGGCTTTGTAGCTGTTGGGAAATACTTGAGAAGCATTCACACCCTTTTTTGTTTTGATTTCAAACCTCATGGGTAAAAATGAGTCACCTGGCGTAACTGTGATATCAAGTAATTGACATGTAGGAGCCCCTGCCCGCCTGCCAAACTTGGCCACCCAGGGGGTGTGGAAATAAAGATTTGGCCGCCCAGCCAGATGCATATCCCTACCTCTGCCTTATATCTGGAATGCCTCCTTTATCTCTAATGATTATTCTTACTTGCCTGCATGCAGGATAGAGAGGGGTGAGTGAGTGTGTGTAGAAACTAGCAATTTACACTGACTGCTTTGCCAGCTTTTTCCTCTGGCACCACCAACCAGTAGCACATGGCTCCTGGAAAAGGTTCCCCTGCCCTGGTGTAGATTAACATATTCAAAATATTCATTCTTAAATTGATTGACCCAACGGGAAAGTGGTTATTGTGGTTGCACTAAGCATTAGTACAGTCTTTATATCCCCAGTGAACAGAGTCAGTACTCAATAGGGACCTTAAACATTTAAATATAAGCATAGTGCTCAGCTTGCTGTTTCTGATGGATGGCCTCTCCTGGGGCCTAACTAAATGTTATGTTAAATGTATCGCTTGCAGGGATGCCAGTGGAGATACACACACACACACACACACACACATACATATATATAGCCTCTAATCCTGGGTGCAGAAGGATTTCTGTTAGTTTAACCCTTCCCTCTCGTGTTGTGATCACGTCAAAAACCACACCCCTGCTTCCCCCATGGTAGTTAGCCATGGGGGCAGGGGGATAGTTGCCAGCGGGAGCATCATTTTTATTGTTCACTGTGGCATGAGGGTGATTTTGCCACAGACACTGCAAAACCTCCCCTCCCTGCATGTTGATGGAAATTGAGGGAGACATTCTCAATGTCAACGGTGAACTTTATGGCTGAGTGGGGATTGAACCTGGGCCTTTCCTATCCTAGCCTGACAACCTAACCACTACAACCAGGACAGACCTTGTCTTGTTCCTGTATCACAGTGGTGCTCACAGGGCAATGCAGGTGAGTTACAGCAGCACCAAGGATAGCTCCTAGTGAGCAACTTGCTCTGACAAAGGTTAGAAGTGTACCGAAACCTTTAGAGCTGCCTCCGGTCCCCGTCTCCTAACTTCACCTTATTTTGTGTAACTAAAGGGCCTCTTAAAGGGCCATTCCTCTGGCTTGAAGATGAGCACTTATCATATGTGCTCCATGGCCTACTGCCTGGTGTGCAGCCTGTAGGGAAGAAGCGCATGGGTGCCAGTAAAGTGCATGGCCTGATTAATATGTTAGTGGAGTACAGCACTGATGTGGGATCTTCTGTATGAGCCAACCATCCTACATTATTTCATTCATTAGTGGAACAGCGTACATTGTAGATATTTGGAGAAGCGGCAGCCATTGATGTCATGCATGAACTGGGGCTAAGGTTCACTTATGTATGCAATCAACATTTGATGGTTGCAATTTGAACTTTTTGTATTGCCTCGTCACCTCATGCTTAATGTTTTTTTCAATGGAGACACTTTACACATTCAGACGCAAGTCAAGAGTAGGTTTGTGATTAATTATCTGGGTTGTCTTTACTACAAGAAATAAGAAAAAATTACCTATTCTATATCAGTTATTCCAGTGTTTCCCAACCGGTGTTCCGCGGCACACTAGTGCCTGGTGTGCCGTGGGAGGGAGGCGGGCGAGTCGGGCGGCGAGAGGCGGGGCGGCGGCGGCGAGGATCCGCGTCGAGCCGGGGGCGGCTCCGTGGTGGTGGTGCCGAGGTTTCTCTCTCCATTCTCCCCTCACACACACACACAGGAAATAACACAGGATCAGCTGACAGGACCCGGCCAATGGGGCGGCGGCGGGGCAGCGCGCGCAAAAGGGAGCGCGAGACAGCGGACGAGGAGGAGGCCGGCATGTCCGGGCAGCAGCAGCAACAACAGCAGCAGCAACTCCCGGCGACGGCTCCTCAAGCCCCGGGCAACCCTACTCCCTCACCGGCCTCGGCCGCCCTCCTGCTCCACCCGCCGCCGCCTCCCCCGCCGCCGCCGGCCACCTCGGCCCCGCCGCCGCCCGACACTTTACACATTCTAGACGGCAAGAAGAGTAGGTTTGTGGATTAATTATCGGGTTGTACACTACAAGAATAAAGAAAAATTGACCTATATTCTATTCTATACAGAAACTGTTCAGCAAACAGTATTTAGGAAAGGTTTCCCAACTCAATTTCTTATTTTCAGATTTCAATTTTTGCCCCTTAGCACAGATAGTAGATGTATTCTAGCATACATTGCTTTTGGGCAACCACCTCCCGTTTCAGTGAGGTTTGAGCAAGTCCCTTTGAAATGGCCAGCAGTTGCAGTGCAGTAGTGGTTGCTGACTTGTGCCCATTGCCACAGCTGCAGTTGCACTGTATGCAGTTGCACTTTATATATTGTTTTGTCAAAGCAACAGGGAAGAGCAAAGAGTGATCTACTATGCCACTCTGTTTATTTCAGATTTAGTGTATCCTCCGTAGCTATAACGCTGCGGAAGAGAGGAGGTTGCATTAAAAAAGGAAGTGTTGCTAAATACCCACAAAGCATTAACCTCCTACATCGATTTAATTTGTTATCTCTGATTCCTGTGTTTTCCAAGTCATCGTCACAACACTGGCCTTTACTTAGATAATATACTGCTAACACCCATGAACTATGCAATAATAATTAATGAAGTGCTTGCGGCTACTGCAGAGAGTGCATCCTGTGTCTCAGTTAACGGTAATAATCCTCCATAAAAGGATGAGTGCTACTACCAGGACTCTTATCCTCAGCGGGGTTCAGACTTACTCATGGATTCCCATTAACTAGACACCCACTTTGAATATCCTGCTTTTCCATTATAGATATAATAAGGTATCATCCGTCTCATGAAACACGTTCTTCTCAATAGCAGTTTCATATGGTGAAAGTTTTACCAACGGTACTTCTGCAGTAGTATCACTTTTTTAAAAACCCAGAGATGGCTAGATTGACACTGTTATGTGTAACATATTGCTGATTCTCACTGCACCTGTTTCCTATAACTTGCAAAAATTATTATATTTTGGGTGGAACAGACTGTTGCAAGAAGCCCTTAACTATTGCTATGCCATGTTTCTTTTTGTCTTCTTCCCAGCCAAGTGTGTTATAATAGCATAGGTGTTTCGTGTGTCTTTTAAAGCTCTTCTGTTGAAAAATTATCAGCATAAGGTATAAGACAGCATGTGACGTGATGCCCACGTGCTGTGCATTTTGCCTTCCCCATGGCATGAGAGATGAGAGCAGAGAAATGCACAGTCTAATGGCATACTATCAGGGGTTGTCTTTGCAAATGGCTATGTTCACACATAACTTTGGCCTTGGTAACCCATATGAATAGGGGTTGTGTGCTGGTGCATGTAGCCTGATAACTCCTGCCTTGCTCTTCCATTTTTGTATTCATGTCAGCAAACTACTAGGTGGAGAGCTTGGCATGGTGTCTGGTCGTAGGATCACGCTTCGTTTCACTCTAATAAGCACATGGTTGTTAAATCAAGAACCATCATGATTTAAGGTGGTTAGGGATTGTGGATGTGCTGGGGTAAAACAAATCACAATCCCAGTTTAGGCTGTTGTGCTAAGCTGTCCACTTCATGGTTTGTTTATCTACTCACACGAAGGGAGGAGCAAAGTAGGACCATTCAGTCTGCTTGCACTAGTGTGCAGTTCGTGCACACTGTAGCTTATTAAACCATAGTTTTATGGTCTGGAGTTATGTGCAAATGGGGCCATTGGTGGGAAGAAGAAAGAATTGAATGGTAGCAGTCACTAATAGCAGTTCCATGTTTCTTCTAATAGCTAGCTCCACCCTTTGCATATAATGTTCTTTTCCCAATAAGTCCACTATTATTGGTTTACTATTCAGTTAACCTCCTGATCACAGCTTGCAGCATCTAAATGCTTAGATTTATGCTGATTCTGCCCTATTAGCTGTGAACCTGAAACCACAAAATACAGCTCAGCAGGAATCAAGTTTCTCCTCTGCCAGAGGACAGACTGACTGTTCCTGTTTTATTGAAAATGTTGATCGAAGCAGCCTTTTTCTAGGTAAGCTTAAAAAAGAAAGATGTCTTTGAAAATCTTCTGCCATATCCTAAAAAGATGTTGGACATTATCCAGTTAAAGTTAAGCACTTCTAGGGCTGGAATCCTAAACGCTAAGGAGTAAACCCTATTGACCACAGTGAAACTTACTTCAGATGAAATGCAACAGAATTGTGCTGTGTCCCATTAATTTCAGTGGAAGAGTTAAGCCTTACTGTTCAGCTGGAATTAAAGAATGGAAATAGTTAAGTTTAGTTGTAAAGTGCTCATTACTTATAGATTATCCTAGAAATATTCGATAATATTTTTATTATGGACATTTGGATAGTTCTTGCATGAACTGTTTTCTACCATTTTGTTTTCATCCTAGCATACAACCGTTTTGCCTTTTATATTAATTGAGATGAGAACAACACATCATGAATATCCCAGCAGGACCTGTGGCTTGGTTGCTGTGTGCACCTTTTCGGTTGGCTACATATTGTGGTAAGAGATACCTTTTCACGTTGTGAAATCTGATTATCTATTTCATTGTGGACATGACCACAGATATACACACAGGTCCCGCTTTCCAAACACAGTATTCCCAGGAAATTGTTTGTTAGGTGAGTGTTCACATAACAAGCTGATGATTTCCATTCTTTCCTATGAGGCCATTTCTAAGCCATGATCTCTCTCCCCCTTCCCGTTATGGTTTCTTCTTAAAATGGCTGCACCCAACCATCAAAAGAAACAAAGGAAAAACTGTTTTGTCCAGTCCTGCTCTCTGATTGGTCCAGTCTCCCCTACACTCCCCACCCCCATAGTATCTGCCTGAAAATGGCTGCTGCCAACCCGCCAAGCACAAACAAGTAAGGAAGCAGGCAAACTTGGACTGTTTGGATATCTGAACCCATGGAGTAGATAGCAAAGCTTGGCATAATTTTTGTGTTTGGATAAGTGAACTTTCACATAACAAGTGGGTGGATAATGGGACCTGTGTGTACTGCTTGCTTTGTCTTGTGTCTATGCTGAGGGCTTTCTGATACTATATAGATCTCTCATACACATACCCTTAGTCAAGCATCTGTTTCCACCAAGCGTGAGCTTTTCCCCTTGCACTTTTAATGTATCCATTCATTTATCTTAACTTCTTCCTGGCTTTCAGATCAGCTAGGCCATATCTCAGATTGGAAATGTAAAACCATCACATGAGTTTGAAGCATGTATATTTAGAAGTACCCTTAATCTGTAAGTAAGCATGATAGGAAAAGCTGTTGATAGATCTGGAGAAATTTATTTATGTATTCTGTTCCTTCTACCAATGCTTACTCATTGATCATGCAGTAAGATGTTTCAGGATTGAAGTCTGTATTTCCAGAATTTGAAACTTGCCATAATAATTCAAGATGCCTGAAGTAAAGCTCTAGTTACCTAAAGCAGTTTTTCCCAATTGGTGGTGTGCGGATATCAACCTTTCAGAAGGAGGGGGTCCATGGCTTGGCTTTTGAAAAACAGGGATTCTAGAGTACTTAGCTAATCGGGAGCCATTGACCTAAAGTATTTCCTTTTCCTTATGTCCTACTGTAGTTTTGAAGATTGACCAAAAGCACTCTCCTGACTACAATCTACTGGGGGCCACAGTCTACTAGGGAGTTAGATTTCTTGCATGCTTAAGGACAGCTATGTGCACTTGGCCTTTGCCTGTAAAGGTAGAAAGCTAAAGTCTGAGACATGAGCATAATCCGCAAAACAAAAAACCATTTACATTTTCTATGTATCCTTATGATAATGTGAACTATTACAGCCATGTGTATTTAAATTAAAATATCCTTTCACCTCATTTGATGAGATTTACGTTTAGTATACTTTCCCTGAAGTTCTAGTTTTTGTTCTTCTTTCCTCCTAAGGAATACTTAGCGCTAAATGGTCTGCTTTTTTCTAAACCTTGCAAATGGTAGAGATTCAACAAAATGGCTCTGGCCTTGCACTCTAAAGTGTGCCTTAATGCATGTTCCCTTGTGCTTATCTAATAATGAGATTGGACAGGAATTGCAATGTTAAAGACATTCATTAGAATTAATAACAACTAATCTTGTGCAGAAGCTTTATGCCTAAGGTTGATCAGCCCATTATTGTGCAGTATTGAGTTAGCATGTTTTCAAGGACAATGAACTCCTTAACAAAGGCCATTGGGTAATGTTTCCATGGTTGCACTGCTACTTTTCCTTCTCACATTTGTAATATAGACAATGCAGGACTACTCATAATGCTGCCAGTCCAGAGAAGGGCAGGATGGAAGGATTCTAGTGTAATATGCAGGGGCGGGTTCTGTGTTTAAATGATGTCAGCCTGGGTAGTCATAGGTGGTTCTGAAGCCTGTTCTTGAAGTGGCACATAAGTTGGCTTGCTCTTTCCCATTTAACTTTGGTCATAATTACTTTCCATTTGCTTGTTCAGTCGCTCTGGGGTCAAGCATGCAAAACCTAAATGGAAAACTTGCTTTGCAATTACCATGCTGCAGGAATCCCAATGGCGTAGTGTAGGGATTAGTCACTGAAGGTCCTTGGACCAGTCATGGTCTTGTGGGACAAACTCTTGTTCTTAATCCTGGGCGGATCTACACTCATGGCTTTTAATGCTAAAAAAGTGTTATGGAGTGGTTCTGATAACCATATAGCCACATGGCGTTCTTTTTTAACGTAATGCGTTATTAAAGTGTGACACCAGAGGGCGCTGCAGAGCAACCCCCTTCCAAATACAAATAGACCTTGTGGAATGGGACTTTTTCAGCCTTGATGGTATTTTTTAAATATTGTTCTAATAACATTTAAGAGGTGAGTGTAGATCCAGCCCCTGTCTTTGCTCCTGTACTGAATCAAATCCTGATTAATGCTTCCTGCTCCCTCCTCTCTTTCCACGCCCAAAGTGTCATAATCAATAAAGTTTACTTCTGAATAGACATAGGATTCTGCTCATAGAAAAAAGTTATTGCTATTGTATAATTTTATTTATTTAAAGAAAACTTCTGATTTCTCTCTGTATTTATATTAGGGTCTGTTGGATTTATCATGTAACAGGTGTTTGGGTGTACCCTCTCTTGGAGTACCTTGGCTCAGGTGCTAAAATTATCTTCTTTGCTACTGTAACTGCAATAATTAACATCTTCTACTTGCTGGGTGAGATCTTAAACAACTGCATCTGGGATACACAAAAATGTGAGTATTGTTTTGAGAAGCACTGATGTAACTATGAAACAAGGGCTGATTCACATATTGCCATTGCCATTGTAAAGTTCCCTGAGAGTGACTCCACCATGTCTTTTTCATGTGTAAATTCTGTCACGTGGTGGTTATTCCATACAATGTTACTTGGTCAGAAAAAAACAACCCATAAATTTTCTACCATTTCAATCTAATCTGGTAGCATTCATTTATTTCCCATGCAAAACACCTTTCCACGCAAAATGATTGCATTGAAATCAGTACATGAAGTTGCTTGCACACTCATGCACTGGTATACTTTTGGGCTTAATTTGAGGCGCTGTGTGTGTGTGTGTGATTATCATTGCCTGGTTTTGGACATTTAGCTGAGAGCATCAAATGACAACAAATAGGTACATAAATCCAGAAATTACTAGGGAGTTAAAGGGGGAATTGGCAAAAATCACCTTCCGCCACCACTTCTATTCATGGAAGCCTCTGCTGGATCAAAGATCATTCCATGAATGAAACAACACCATTGGGTGATAGTCCTAGTCCCAATAAGTTCTTCAAAGGTGATTGAGGATGTGCCTGTTGTGATCCAGATAAGATCTAAATTGGATGTTCTTAAAAAGGTTTGACAAGTACACCACATATCACAAAATTATACAATGAGCTTATGCCATCCTATAATAAAGGTTGGGGTGGAAAGAAAAAGGCATTTACAAGTCTGAAAGGTTTCCCCCTCTCTTCCTTTAAGAGTTACATTTTTTAAAAAACACACCACTACTGACAAAATAATTTGCAGTTACTTTTTCCAAACTAAACCACAAACATGGTAGGCAAAGAAAAATCTTCCCATTCTATGGGCCAGAGTCAGCCCACAGGTCTGAAGATAACATAATTTCTGCCAGCGTATTTGATCCATCAGCAGTAAAATGCTTCTCAAGAAAGGATAGAGGCTCTTTTATGAAGAAAAATGAAACTCTACAGCTTGAAACCACTGGAAAAGTTTCCTCCAGCAGCAGAGAGGACACAGGAGACCAGAATTGGCATCAGCACAGGATCCAAAGCCAATATGCGTTTCTGGAGCTGAGCCATTGTTTTGTTTTCTTAAACCTTTGACTGACTATCCAATTATTTTTGGTTTGTCAGCAACACCCAGCCCATTGTATGTAGACTATTGGCGATGTCCAAACCAAATTGCTTCATTACTCTGTCTTTCAACAAAATCGCCACTACCAGACGCTTTTGCCCCTCTGCTGTAATTTGGGCAGATATGGGTGTGTTTTTCAAAGAAGCCCATGGTAAGAAATCTGAGCCAAGCAGATTTTCCATTTGAAAAGCACTGTGATTTATGGTCAGGTTTCCTTTTGAGAGGTTCCTTCTCATCTCTGCCCACCCTCTAGACCCCTGTCCTATTGAAAAGAAAGATAAGAAATTTCTGTTTTGGGATATGCAGCAGCACTGGAAACTTCCAAAAGAAACACTTTCAGAATAGATCGGAGGTGTTTGGCAGGGTGGTTTGGTCCAAATTAGCTAAACAGACAAAAGAACAAAACTTTTGCCAGAAGCTAAGAATAGAACTTTGCCCAGGAACAAGCGTTTGAAAGAGACGAATGTTTCCATTGCAAGGAAAAAAACAATCAATGGCCATGAATGAGTTACACTGTGAGTTCAATTCCTGCACATGGCGAATCCCAAGGGGGTTCAGCAGAACCTGCACCCCTGCACACATCTGAACAAGCGCATGGACACACAAGCAGGCAGCATGAATGCATCTAAAGGCACATGGCAGAGTTCCTCTTACACCACTCACAGCCCCATCTAAGCCCCTTTCTCTGTGCCTTGCAAGTTACTTATGCTGGGCTTTCACTGACAATAACTGGATCTTTTTCATAGATGAGGTAAGTGTTGCTGCCTGTAGATTTTGCTTAAGGAGAAGTTCCGCATTTTTTTTAACCCATTATCAGCTGCTGTCTCTGGTTCCTGTGGTGACTTCAGCATTTGAGCGGCTAGCAACATGTTTACTGCTTGCCACATTTCCCTCTATCGCACCTACAGTTTACAATACGTTGAATCTGTGGTGGGGTTTTGTTCTGTTCTGGCTGTTTCTGGGAATTAATTTTGGGTTTTGAAGGCTGGAGCCAGGCAATAGTTATAAAGAATCCTTTTTAAAGAACCATTTTAAAGAAAGTGGTTTTGAGTGAGGTTTTGCTTCCCATGATTTTCACACTCTTTATTTTGCCTGACAGTTAAATAGGTTTTGCAGGTTTTGGAACAGTAAGAACTGTTGTTTTTATCTCCAGCAAAAATGAGTAGTACACTCCAGAAGCAGTGATCCTTCTTTCAAAGTGTCTTCAGCTCTCTGAAAAAACAACAACCTGGTGACTGTTTCCAGGCTATGTTTTGTCCTTGCTGTGCTTCAATGTTCCTCTATGGATTGCGGGTTTTCTTTGGCCACATTACTTTAAAATAAAATTAATATTAAAGGCCAAATGCACCCAGAGACACCTGTGCACCTACCATACTAATAACATTTGGGGGGGAGGTCATTTAAAGAATGGTTGTGTAGGAAAGTTAACTTCTGGTGTCTCTGAGATTGAGCAGAAGTTGTGCAAGATCAGAAGCACCCCCTCCCCCTCACAGAGTCGAGGCATTTGCGTGGGTATTGCTGAACTTAGAGAAGATTGTGCCATCAGATCTGAAAGGGGAAGGAGGGCTGTGTCTCTAGTAGTAGAGAATGGGCAGGAGATGGTCACCTCAGAACTGCACCTCTAGAAGCAACATTATTTGTATAATTTTGGTAAGGAAGGAGAGACTGGGGCAATGATCCTTTATCACTTTGGGATGTTTTATTGAAATCAATAAAACCTAAAAGCTAAGACCGCCACAGTCAAGTTAGTACATACCAACTGCAGGTCTGCTCTGAAATAAGTCCCATTGAATCTAAAAGATGGAAGTCTTACTGGAGTTAAGTCTCTATACTATGACCACATAGCAGGGTGTGGCCTTACTGGGAATAAGCCCCTTGAAATCGTTGGGATTTACTTCTGAGTAACCATTGCTAGGATTAACTGCAAGAAATCGACCAATGGAATACTACTCAGGCAACGGCTGAACTTTCCAAGCTGCTTGCAGCATTTTAATTCATGGGTCTCATTATAATGAGCTAATACAGATATATTGTTACAATTACAGATCCAAGTTATTGGTGTGTTTGAGGTCTTTGAAATCAAGGATGACTGTGGACTGGTGTCACAGACAGCTGGTATAAGAATCTGGACATTTTTGTGTGGGCATAAATGCATATTACACTTAATGGTTTTAAAAGGATGCCCCCAAACCTACCCATCAGCAGTTAATAATATGACTTGGAGAACCTCAAATATTTTGTTGCTTATCCCAGCATAGACATTGTTTTGTAACCATGAATACAATACATGCTCATAAGTAAATAGACATCATGAAGAGTCATCTTCACCATTTTTCAACAAGGAACGAGGTGGAGGAGCTTCAAATGTGGAAGAAATATATCAGACAAGCTATTATTTGACAGCAAAAAACCAGTATGGTTGCAGATTATTTGGTTAGTCTGGTCCCATTTTGTCAGCATTCTGGTGCCTATTATCATGCATTGGGAAGGCACCAAAGGAGAAACAAAGGGCAGGGTTTGGCAGATGAGTCTCAGCAGCAGAAGATCTGCACAATGGGGCTCTTTCCCTCCCCACTCCCTCGCACACAGTCCAAAATTGGCCTGGGGGAGGGTGAGAAGAAGCCTTGGAACAGGGCATGGAAGGAGGGGGAATCATTCAGTTTGGCAAACCCAAATGCTTATACCCTGACAGAATGATCACCTTAGGATGTACAACGTTAAATTCCTCCCAAAATTTCTGCAGAAGATGCATAAGGATGCAGTGCCTTCCGATTTCCTCAGGCGTTTCAAAAGTTGTTTTCTGTTTGTGCTCAGGTATGGAAGAAGGAAAAGAAAAGCCTAAATTGGACTGAACATGAAAGAGGAAAACAAGATTTGCTGCTACACGGAAGACATCTCAGTGTCAAGAGATTGGCCATTTACATGAACAGTGCATCCAGGATACTTTTATTTTCTCTTTAAAAAGAAAAGGGATATTGATTTATTGCCCCACTCCTTCCTGATACCTGCCTCTGCCCATAACACTATATATGATACATTTCTCCACGACTCTTCTACACATGTAATTATGTATGTTACTATGTTAAGTGTCTTTCCTGTGGCAGCATTATTGAAGTCTGCTCTGTCTCTGATTTGGAAATCAGTGGGGAAATTGTTTGCATATCTAGCTGTATCATAAAGCCACGTCTTCAAAAGAGTGGAAAACTTAACACACACATGCAAATATTTTGAATCAGAGAGTTCTGTGGAATTAACAAATCAGAGAGTTCTGTGGAATTTTAATCATCACATTACAGACAAGAAGTGTTTGGGACAATGGCAGTCAACTAGGACTATAAAATTGTTAAAACAAACTGATTTAACTCAGTGCTGCTAAAGTACAAAACCACATTAATAAAAAACAAAAATAGTCTCCCTTCGTTCAAAAAAGTTCTTGCTGCTCAGGTGTTTTCAGGTACATCTTAAAAGCACCACCTAGTTTTCTTCACATCTAGAGGAAATGGCAGAACTTCATCATACTCCTTCCAGGAGCAATGACGAGATGGACTCCTTTTATTTAATATTTATTTGGCACTGGACTTAAATTTTACAGTAAATGAGGAAGACCGGGATTGGTGAATGGTAGGATTGGAATAGGAGAGCATCAGGTAAGAAGAGTGGCTGAGTCAGAGCCAGTCCAACTGCACAAACAACTCAGGATCACTTGGGGGAGCAAACCGGAGCCAGTGAAGTAGCATGCAATCTGCAAAGCATGCCCAAGACCCCTTGCGTCACAAAGGCAGGATGTCCAACCACCATAGTCTCAGGGATCACCAGCCTCTAGTCAGTGGTCTAGGGTCTGGGAGTGGTCTACATCTATTGAGCAGGAAAGGCTTCACAGCTTGGAGAGAATATTGTCAGGCTTAGTTTTTCATATAGCCAAATAGTAGATGTCACAATAAATTGTGGAATATCCATTTTTAGTAACACCATTGGGGAGCAGGAAATTGCTAATCTGGCCTCCTGCACATTGCAAACCACCAAACTGGCCACCTCTGTTCTAAATAGAGGTCTGGGGGGCAGAAGTGGACTCCTCAAGTGGTCAGGTTCTGCAATAAAGTTATTCTAAAGCAACAGTAAGGACTTTTTACAACTCTGGGTTGTGTACACAGGGCATTCATGCAAACCCCGGAGAGCAACAGTGTGAAGTGCATATCTCACATCATTTTTGAAAACAAATTTATTTTCCTTACAACTGTTTGGAAAATCTTTACCACGCTTTCATTACAGCTTGGCAGAGCCTTCGGGTGCAGCGAGAGCTCACTTACAAAACTGTTCCATGAGCTGCATCTGCCCCTAAAACCTTCCACTGGTCAACGCTTTTCACAGAGCATACTAGGAAGAAAGACTCCAGCTAAACATCAGGCAGAGTTTTCTGACAGTAAGAGGTCTTTGACAGTGGGGTGGACTCCCTCGGGAGGTGGTGGACTCTCCTTCCTTGGAGGTTTTTATACAGAGGTTGGGTGGCCATCTCATATATGCTTTAGTTAAGATTCCTGCATTGCAGGGGATTGGACTTGGGGTCCCCCTTCCAGCTCTACAGTTCTATGATTCTATATCCGTCTCCCAACAGAAGAGGAATTTAGAGCATAATCCTATACATGTGCAGACAGAAGTCAACACTTTGGGAGTTCAGACAGTGTTTCCTCTCGGGTAAATGGGTATAGAATTGCAGCTTCAAATGTAGTTGGTAAGAGAGGCTCTCCTGAGCAGAAATAAATAAAGATCCTCTCTACCTCTGGATAGCAACGCTTTTTAAAAATGTAGTTGCCAGAAGCAAATGCACCAAAAAGGCTGAAAGGCCTCACTTTGGCCACATATCTCTTTGAGGAAATATTTATAGACAATGCTTGAAAGTTTAGTACAAGATTTTTCAACACGAGTGGCGCAATGTAAATTGAGGCTTCATTGTCAACAATGTGAAGTTCAGGTTGGTAAAAAAAAAAAAAAAGGTCTGTGCCATTTTGTTAATAGTATTTGAGTGCTTTCGCGTGGCAAGGCTCGCATAACTCATTCTTTGCTGTTGGGACTTGCATGTCTGCAGTCTAAGTCTGTGTTTCTCATTGACCTTTTATTCGTTAAACACTGGATGCTGGCCTTTGTACTTTACTCACTGCACAAATGGCAAATAATAATAAAAGAACTTATAATACTGAAGCATTGCAGAGCAGTTTACATTCTTTCTGCCTGCGGTGGCGAGCGTAGTCTTCTACTTTTGGCATTAGGCATGCTTCCTTGAGTCTCATTCGCCAGTTACCTTTTGTGGCCAGGGAGTTGCTGCAGTGTGGCTCCTTCCTCTGCCACAAAGTTAATGTCAGAGGCCCGAGGCCTTATGGGAGGTGGTCCCAGCTGCAGCTGTTTCCTACACCAGTGTCACCCCAGTTTCCAAGAGGGTGATGCTGACATGGGTCAAACCACATGAATTTCTCCCTTGTCTTCTGGGGATTTTGATGCTACCTTTGTAATATGAAAACTCGTTAGATGGTCACATGCTGAACCTGAACTCAAAGCACCAGATTGACATCATAGTGATGATGTGTTCCAAACATGCAGTGTGTTTACAATGGCAATCGGCTGGTAAAACCCACACAGTAAAGCCTCAACCTCGTACCAACACAACACCCAACATAATAAATTTACCTTTTTTCAAAAGCTAGTGAGAAATATTTATGGTTAAGGCACCTCTCTGTAATATGCTATGCTAATATGTAGGATGAATAGTATGTATTTTCTTATTGGTAGAATGAAACCATAGAGCTGGAAGTTCCTTTAAGGCCACCTACACAAACTCCCGGCACCAAAATCAAAGCTGATATATCTAAAGATTTGCATCTAAATCTAGATCAGCTCACAGCATCCTCCAGGTTATATATAAATCTTGTTACAGGCAGAAAGCATATGCAGACAAGCATCTCTAAGGCTTGGTAGAAGAAAAAATATTCGCCGCGTGCATAACGTCTTAAAATCCACGTAAAAGAAGTGAATCAGCTAGCCCTAAATGTGCTTTGCAAGTGCCAATTTCTCCTGTAATTCCAGTTTTATCAATTTATGGCTACCCAGAAAGCCTTTTGCACTAAATATCTCCGTATCATCAGCTACCTTGTTGTCAAGTAGTTCCTCAGTTACATGCTGCCCATTTATCTTCCCTCCACAATAATTCATTGCTCATCTTTCTTAGCGCAACACTGATTTCTTGGGCTGTGTCATGTTGATGTGTCATCCTAGTGAGAAACCACCATCCTAGATAAGAGTTGCAGTGATGACATTGTTTCAAGCAGATGCCAGAGCTTTGTGGAACACTCTTAGCAGCTGACTGCTGAAGATCAGCAATGCAGTCGCCTTGGTGAGTTTCCACTCAAATTTATTTAGTGTTTAACTGCCGCTAAACTGTTCTTAAAGCAAGCATTTGTCTTCAGTTCAGAACATCTGAGATGGCAGGAAGATTGGAAACCTCAGTTGTGGTGTGTTTTCAATATGACAGTCGTGCCCTCAGGGGTGCTTTCTGTCTGTGCTTCCCACAACCATCCTTGAATGACTTAAAGATCTTGCTGCCACACATGCAGTACCCTTCCCATGTGTTTGTGGGTCTTTGAACTAGAGGCATCAGAGGAACCCATGGGAAAGCACCTCCTTCAAAACTAGCTTAACATTTCAAGGGCGTCTTGATTGTGGCACAAAGTTAAAACTAGAGGTGTAAGAAGACATCACATTTTGTTCTGTATTCATATCATGCTGCCCTGTTTCTGTTCCACTACAATTCATATTCTGCCCAAAACTGCTTTTTGTGTCTCTGTCCTCTGTGGCAAAATTATATAACTTCCATAATTTATGTAACTGATTACATAAATTGTGTAAGTTATGTTGTCATTACATTATTCTGCCCCATTCATTTCACTTCAAAGGAAATGCAATGCAAATAGAGGAAGGGGAGAAAAGCAATCAATTACATATCGTTTGTGGACTGAAAGCTACAGCAACAAAAAACACCAATAGTATTTGCTGGGTTGATATCTGTTCTGGACATGGGACAAGTAAGCGAACACCAGCAATTTCCATCCCTGCTTCTGTTTTCAGTTGAATTCTCTGATATCCTCAGTTGAAACAGTTTGTTTTCATTGGCGAAATATGGTTTTGAGGTTCATTTTCCTTCCTTGAAATGAGAAGTGGCAGAGTGGATAGAATATGTTAGCAAAGTCTCTTAAATAACACAGATGGAGTCCAGAGAGGAAATGGTCCTGATAACACTTTACTGAGGAAACTGAACAAAACATGTATAATTTGAGGAGAAAGAAAAGGAGGGGTCTTGTCCTCTTTCAGGGAATGTCCTCCCTATCAGGGAGACATTCAACCAAATGTACAGAGGAAAAAACCTCTCAGAGCTACATCCAATCAGGGCACACACACCCTGGTTGCTAAGCAGCACCTCCCTCTGCCCCCCTCTTGGCTATCTGATTTTAACAGTTAACACTTAAGTTCCACATGGAATGTTGCACTTCCAACAGGGAGTCGCAAAGCGTAAATGCTGCCACACTAACAAATAAACTCCTCACAGATGTGGAACAAACACTATATGGCACCTATAGAAATACAAGTTCTGCAGAAAGAAGCTGTCAAGTAAGCACAAAGGGAACGAGGCAATCCTTTAAGCTGGTCCCCAGTTGTGAGGAAAAGGTTGGGCATAAATGTTTAACAGTGAAATCCGAAGTGGGTTGGAGGAGGTAGAACTGATTTTTTTTTAAAAAAAAAATACATGTTGCCCCCTGCATGAATACTTCTTTATTTAAAGTTGCAATCCTATGTTCCCTGCAAGGGAGTAGAGAAAGAGCTTTGCCTGCTGAGGGAGTGATCTAGCCTTATAAATCCCCATCATGAGGGTCTGGAAGGATCTTCAACCAGTGATCCTCTGAAGTGGAAGTGCCAGTGTCAGGTAGAAAAGGAGGCTTGCTGGAGGGGGGCGGGGGACAGATCCAATGGGAACAAAACTTTAAAAATCTCTGAGAACAGAGTGAACTCCCCAGCCCTCCTGCCAGCTTTTCTTGCTCTAGGACTACAAATCCAGCAGGACATAGGAAAATACAGTTCCCCCACCCACACTTTGAATTGCTTAGTTAAGCATTCATAACCTGCCGTTCATTATCAAAAGCTCACTGCTAAAACAAGTAAAAACAACATCAGCAATCGGCAAGATTAAAGGTGGTGAATGAACAGATGAACACTTGAAGGTTCGCGTTGTGCTTGTAAACTATTTTAAAAGGCAGGTGGTTTGCCTGGTGCATTGCAGGGCGGTGGGGGGTGGGGCAGAGAAGCCGACAGCTATGCCAGTGTTTGATTAGTTGGTTTGTACATCTCCCATTTCAGCTGCGGCTAAGGAAC